TTCTTCTTCTTCTTCTTCTTCTTCTTCTTCTTCTTCTTCTTCTTCTTCTTCTTCTTCTTTCTTCCTCCTCCTCCTCCTCCTCCTCCTCCTTCTCCTTCTCCTCCTCCTCCTTCTTCTTCTTCTTCTTCTTCTTCTTCTTCTTCTCCTTCTTCTCCTTCTTCTCCTTCTCCTTCTCCTTCTCCTTCTTCTTCTTCTTCTTCTTCCTCCTCCTCCTCCTCCTCCACTCCTCTTCCTTCTAGCACTGATGACGTCCCCTAGTTGGGTCATGAAACGTCTGCAACGAAACCCCCCCCCCAGCTCACAGAGCAGGCTGGCCCCTTCATTTCAACCCCGAATTACAAATATTCTCCTTTATTGCTAGTAGTGGAGCATTTTAGGGAAACGGCACAGCTCCCAGAGAGCCCGCAGCCATGCAAACGTTCTTTTCGGGACTTCCCTCGCGAAGGTGGCCCGACATTACGGGAAGAGGGCTGTGTTGGTGGCCCGTAATCCGAAAAAATCCCGTGGCACCTTTCCCGACAGACGCATTTTAGAAAAAAGGAAGAAGTGTTGGTGAGCTTTTTTCGAAAGCCTGATTAGCTCCTCGGGGCGTCTGCGGTGTGTCCTTCCCCACTGAACGTAGAGCTTCGCGCTGGGGAAGTTGAGTCACGGTTCAACAGCTCCCCGGGGGGGACAGGACTACATCTCCCAATAGCCACTGCACAATGCCCAGGAGCGAGGGACGCTGGGAGATGCGGTTCCGTCTTCTTGACCCAGCCCGGCGCCCGCTAGCAGACATTTATTTCTGGCTGTTGAAATCTCACCCGTCTGGGCAGCCAAGTGTCCCTTAGCCCGGCGGATCTCCGCAGATCCAGTGTGTCCTTCCGAAAGTTGTGTCCCCAGGGGCATCTGAAAAAAAAACAACAACAGCAGGGTCTCAGACCTACAAGCAGAGGGACGCGGTGCCCAGATTTGAGGAGGGGGGGTGTCTCTTGCTGTCAGCACCCTACTGGCAGACACCAATCCCTGGCACTAAAGCTCCATGCTGGGATGGGGGGCACGTACTCCGGTGTCCCCACATTTGCCTCCTGCCCACTGCCTAGCTTGGCCTCCTCGGCCGTGCTATGTTCACTTTGACTGCAGCATCCCCCCCCCATCCTCAAATCTCTGTTCCCCACCCCCCCTTCCCCCTCCTCTCCTTCTCTCTGCTCCATCCCGGCCTGTTTCCATAGAAACCCCCTTTCCGTTTGGGTACTCCCGTCACTGCCAGGAAGGGAAGCTGAGCAAGTGTCTGTGTGTGTGTCTGTGTGTGTGTGTGTCAGAGCCAGATCCACTGATGGGGGGGGGGGGGAAGAGAGAGAGAGAGAAAGAGAGAGAGAGAGAAGCAGAGAACACGGCTTCTGGAATGATTGATACCGTGCGGTACACCCCTGTCTGTCTTCACTCCCGCGCGTGCACACCTGACTTTTCCGGCGTGGCGCAAATACGCTGGCTTTTGCAAAACCCGGGGTGGGCAGGATTGCCGCTGGCCAGAGAAGAGGAGCAAGGTCAGAAAAAAGAACGGAGGGTGCCACCGTTTTGGCAAGGCGGGGGGGCACGGCTATGCGTGGACCAGAACGGGCAGCGCCAAGCTTTGGTGCTCGAGCAGCCAAATAAGGACGAGAGGCGAGCCCGTTCTGGGCGCCCGAGTCCAAAAGGGACCGGACGTAGCTCTTCAGCGGAGCTGGCACCCACCGGAAGTGATGTCCTTCAGCCATCTTAGGCTGCCAGGAAGGGAATTCCGTGCGCAAAATGGCTCGGTGGGAAGCAAAGAGTGGAGCAGCTGAACGGCACCTCGCAAAGGAACGAGCAGTCGTGCCCGTTAGCAGGCCACTCTTAAAAAATAGCAGGGCCTGCGAACAGGGCGAACTAGGCTTGCAAAAGTTGGCAACTTCCTGTCACTCCTTCTGCGGCCTTCCCGGAATTCCAGGAAGTGCCATCTCAGGAAGCTGCTTAACTCTCTGTTCCCCAAAAAACGGTGTCTCGCCAGTCTCCGGTGTGATGTTTCAGCCTCCCTCTTTCAGCCCGCAGCCACTATCTCCTCCGAGGCAAATGTTTTGGGATCTTCTTCAAGTCAACGTTTGTAGGCACAACATTTGGGGTTTCCTTGTTCCCCCCAAGGGGGTGTGAATTTGCACGGGGGGGCGGGCTTTCTTCACTCGAGGGACTGGCTAGAAGCAGCATTTTTCCACCTTGGCAACTTTAAAACGGGTGGACTTCAGCTCCCAGAATTCCCCAGCCCTCAGATCAGTTGTCGCTTTAATCGTCGTGCCGTCTCGTCCAGGGCTTTTCAACCTTTTCACCCATTGTACCACTTTTAGGATATGGCAACATCCGAGTGCCACCAGTCGCATAGCAAGGTGTCAAAAACTTGACCCCCCCCAAAAAAAGTGATAAAGTACAGGTAGTCCTCGACTTATAACAGTTCACTTAGTGACTGTTCGAAGTTACAATGGCACTGAAAAAAGTGCCCCCCAAGCCACAGCCGAGCAAGACACCTGCCTGCCCGCCCGGCGGCGCTCTTCCTCCTGTCCGAGGTTTTCATTGTTGTGAGCATTTCTGTTGAGGATTGGCAGCGGGGGTGGAGTGGGGGGTGTTTGGTTTCCCCCCCCGTCTGCTGGGTGGTTGCAGCAGGTTTTGGTCACTTCACATGACCCTGGGACACTGTGACCGTCATAAATATGAATCAGTTGCCAAGCATCTGAATGTAAATCACAAGACCCTGGAGAGGCTGCAACATTCCAGCTGATCGGCGCTTCTTCTGGGCTCAGCGGAAGCGCCAGGATCACCGCCGAGCTCCATCTGGAGCCTGGCGCTGATCCTGGCGCTTCCGCTGAGCCCGGACAGCCCTGCAGCTCCAGCCGTCTCTCGCTCAGGCTTGTGCGGTGCTGCCACCAGATCAGCTCATTCCCTTCCCCTGCTACCACTTTTCTAGGATGGTCGCGTACCACCTGCCAGGTGCCAATGTACCACAGGTGGTACCCGTGCCACTGGTTGAAAAGCCCTGGTCTAGTCCACATCTAAGTGGTTTATTTATTCAGCTTGTCAAGCGTTATTTTTTTCACTTAACCGAAAACAAGGTCTATTATACCGACCGCGTTCCCACCACCTATCTAAGAAGTTCCCCCAAATTCAGGGGGAATTCTGGGAGATGGCCCTCCCGTCTTAAAGGGGTTGAGGTCGAGAAAGGCCATAGTAGAGGCCGGTGAACTCCAAAATCCAGCGCCCCCCCCCGTCTTTCCCAGTTTCCTGATGTCACAACGTCGTTGTCTCTCCTTTTCGCCACAGGTCTGAGGCGGCAGCACAATGGCTTCGGTTGTGGAGCTCACCGACAACAGCCACCCCAATTCCCTTCTGATCCAGCTGAACGAGCAGCGTCTGCGCGGGCAGTTCTGCGACATCACCATCGTTGCCGAAGACACCAAGTTCAAGGCCCACAAAAATATCCTCGCGGCCTCCAGCCCGTACTTCAAGGAGGTCCTCTCCGAGGACTCGGCGTGTCGCCAGCCGAGCCAGATCCTCGAGCTTCCCGACATCCAAGCCAAAGTCTTCTCGGACATCTTGAACTTCATTTATAACTCTCGGCTCTCCGTGCCCAGTCTGGCCGTGGCCAAGGAGATTGGGGTGGTGGGCCGACGGCTGGGCATCTCCCGCTTGGAGAACCTGGATGACCCCTGGGCAGAGGTCAAGATGGACAGTCCCGGCGGAGCCTCTGCCCGAGATTGCGAGTCGCCCATCGACCTCACCTGCCCGTCCCGTTCCATGGAACCCTCCAGCCCTGTTTGCTTTCAGGATTTGACCAAAGTGTACAGCCCCGGGCAGGACACCCGCCCTGACTCTGAGACAGAAACGGCCAAGATCCTCTACACTCTGAGCTCCGTCGCGACCGTGCCCCCTGCCACGCCCTCTGATCTGACGTTCATGATGAAGGAACCCGTCGCTTGGGACCACAGCCTCTCTGGGACGACTCCTGCCACTTCCGTCGACACAAAGGATGGGGCACCGGCGTCGGCCTCTTCTTCCTCGCCCCCATCCCCGTCTGGGGCTTCCTACCCAGCGAGCAGCACTTTCTGCTGCGGAAGCTGCAGCCGCTCCTTCACGACGTCTTCGGCCCTCAGCCTCCACATGAAGCTGCACCGAACGCGCCGCTCGCTCTCCTGCCGCCACTGCGGCAAAAGCTTCATCCACATCAAGCGGCTGCAGACGCACGAAGTCTTATGCAAAGAGGTGGAGAAACCCCCCAAGGAGGAGGCTTCCGCGGACAGGGCCCCGCCCAGCCCAGAGTTACCTTCCAAGCCAACGGGAGCTGCAGCATCTTCCAAAAAGGGCGTGCTTTTCCGCCACCGGGCCTTGCCGAGGGTGGATTACCTCTCCGACCAAGACCACTTTGTCAAAGTGGTCGACGGGCACATCATCTACTTTTGCACCGTCTGCGAGCGGTCCTACATGACCCTTTCCAGCCTCAAGCGTCACTCCAACGTCCACTCCTGGCGCCGCAAGTACCCGTGCCGTTACTGTGACAAGGTTTTCGCCCTGGCGGAATACCGCACCAAGCACGAGGTCTGGCACACCGGAGAGCGTCGCTACCAGTGCATCTTCTGCTGGGAGACCTTTGTGACGTACTACAACCTGAAGACTCATCAGAAAGCCTTCCACGGCATTAATCCCGGCCTCATCTCCTCAGAGAAGACCCCCAACGGGGGCTACAAGCCGAAACTGAATGCGTTGAAACTCTACCGCCTGTTACCCATGCGCTCCCAAAAGAGGCCGTACAAAACGTACAGCCAGGCCGTGGTGCCCGAGGACCTTCTACATCCATCTCACCCTGTCCCCATGACACTGGGAGAGGGTGATTCATTGGACGGAAATTTGGTCTCCTCCCTGAGTACTAGTGACGTGGTTTCAGTGTTCACCACCAAGAACGCCTCTTTAGAATCGACAGAGGCGGAACTGGACCAGCAGCAGGAAACCACGAGCACCGAGGACACGTCCGCTCTTCCAGCTACTGGTGAGGAGGCTCGGCTGGGCAAGCCGCCCCCGTCGTTGAGCACCGAAGCTCCCACCGTCATCGCCTACGGGCACCCCACCTCTTCCGTGATCGTTCATAGCACCTCGGTGAAAGCACAGGGTCCTTCTGTGATCACATACAACAGCACGTCCGCCAGCACCCCGCTGAACGGGGGAACTCCACCGTCACTGTCCCAGTCATCCCCTTCTCCAGTTGTAACCAAACCCATTAAGAAGCAGGTCCTGAGGGAGTACATCCAGTCCCAGAAGAGGGAGGAGCAGGCGTTGGAAGAGGAGGGCAGCGAGCAGGGGTTCAAGGCGAGGGGACCACGGACTGGACGCACCATGACCTACATGGCGAAACCAGCCTGCGTGGGAGCCGCCTCCGAAAGCCGAGCCGCCCCACTCTGCCAGATCACGGTGCGCATCGGCGAGGAAGCCATCGTCAAGCGGCGGATCTCCGAAACGGACCTGATGCTTGACAAGAGCAGCCGGATCGGAGGCAGGCGCCTGGATTTCGGCCGTGATCCGGGCAGTGAGAAACCACATCCCTCCCTGCCTCCGACGCTGCACGGCAAGCATGCCGACCGGCTGTTTGCGAACGAGAGTGGCGAGGAGGACAGCGACCGCGGGGACACGGAAGACCAGCTTTGGCGCCCGTACTACAGCTATAAGCCCAAGCGGAAGGCTTGTGGCGGAGCCGGCAGTAGCGCCGGCAACGCCCTGCCGAAGATGAAGAAGTCGCGGTGGCGGCACAAGCTGCGCTCGCTGCGCTGGATGAAGCGGTCGGAGGACGCCAAGGAAGGGAGCAGAGCGGGACCCAACCATCCGGGGTCGCCTGAGGCATCCGGGGGACAGGGAACTGCCTCCGACCGGGATGAGATGGATCAGCTGACAAAAGGGGCGGGTGGGCGGGGCACCGAGTGGAAGCACGAGTGCGGCATTTGCGGCAAACTTTTCTCGGCCCTCAAGAAACTGAGGAAGCACGAACGGGTGCACGGGCGCCTCGCCAAGGATGACCAGGCCCTGGCAGTCCTGGGCACCCCCCACCGCGTCGGCCGCAAGCCCCTGGTGAAGTTTGCCTGTGCCCACTGCACAAAGGTCTGCAAGACGGCGGCCGCCCTGAGCCGCCACATGAAACGGCACGAGGGTCAGGCGCTCGAGGAGGTCCCCCTACCGGTGCTCACCACAGTCATTGCTTATTCGAAGAAGACCGGCGAGGTGCCTCTGTCTCCCTCTCCACCGGTGGTCAAAGAGGAGACCACCCAGGAAATGCAAGTGTCTTCATCCAGTGGGGAGGCGCCCGTTGGCCAAGCCGAGGTCTCCGAGGGGGGCTGTGTGGAAATGGTGCCCTGCAACGGGCACACGCTTGGCCCTCTGCCCGGAGACGGAAGCCTGTCGCAGCAAGGGGCAGGCAAGTCCCCTTTCCACGAGGAGCTGCCCGCCCACCCGCCGCCGCCACAGGCCCCCGCCGCCAGCAGCGCCCTTGCCGAGCTGCCTCCGGATCTGCCCCTCTCCCTTCAAGACCCCGTCATCTCTCACACGGGCCTGGTCCAGAAAGAGATGTTGGCCTCCCAAGAGATGGAAGGGGACCGCTACCCGGTCCAGGAGTACCCCTTACCGCTGCTGGTGCCGGGGAGTTGCCGGAGCAGGAAGGATCGGGAAGAGAAGCCCTCCTTCCTGGCGTACCCCAGCGCCATCCAGTTCAACGCCGTCGGCAAGGCCGGGAGCAGCAGCGGCGGAGAGGGCAGAGTCAGCTTCTACCCGGAGCCGTATCCGCTGATGTACGGGCACCAGCTGTTGGCCGCTTACCCGTACAACTTCACCTTGCCCGTGGCTTTGAACATGGTGGTCCCGGATGAGAAGGGTCAGCCTTTGCCCTTCCTGCCCTTCAGCTACGCCATGAACCCCTGCCGGGGCGTGGTGGGGCACGAGGGGGGCCCAGTGTCCCACGGGGGCCTGGGGGTGGGCAGTTCGGCAGCCCGGGAGAGCCGAGGGGAGCCCGCCGTGCCGGAGAGGCTGAAGAAAGGCGGTCTCCTTTGAGGGCCTGCCCCGGGGCAGGGAAGGGGCACCGGATTCCAGGTGTGGAAGACAGGCGAGGCAGGAGAATAGCCAACCTCCACTCCCCTGGGAAGGGTGTGTGTGTGTGTGCTTACGAGAACCGGTGGGGGTGAGCGCAAAGGGGCAAGTAGAAGAGAAGCCCTCCCCCCTTCTTCCTACCAGTGGCATTTTTCACGTGGGACGTGTCGTAGAGAAGACTTCTTAAAAATAGCAAAAATAGGTACAGGGTACCCTCGTTTTCCCACCCCTACCCACCCACCCCCTCCACCTGCCTGGTTCCTAAACAACCCCCCCCCCCCTATGAATGTTGTTTGTAGACACAAATAAGAGTGAATTTTGCACAAGGGACCGCTCTTCGTGGGGGCCATTTCTGCCCTGTTTCCTTCGGTTCCTGACCCCTTTTGCCCCCCTCCTCTGTACTTTTGCTGCTGGGGACTGGGGGGGGGGAGAAACAGACTAGTTTGAAAGTAGTAGCCTCTTTAATGTAGCTCCTCTCCTGCCTGTTGGGGGTGCCTGCAGACCCCCCTCTCCCCCGCCCCCCGCTGTTGGGGTGTCCTTCTGCAGACCTTCCCCTTTTCTCTCCCCCCCCCCCCCCGCTATTGGGGTGCCCTTCCTCTGCGTACCATCTTTCCTCCCGTTATTGGGGTGTCCCCCCTCTGCAGACCCTCCCCCTATTATTGGGGTGTCCCTTCTGCAGACCCTTCCCCTTTTCTTCCTGCCGCCCCCCGGTATTGGGGTGTCCTTCCTCTGCAGACCCTCCCCCTACTATTGGGGTGTCCCTTTTGCAGACCCTTCCCCTTTTCTTCCCCCCCAGTATTGGGGTGTCCTTCCTCTGCAGACCATCTTCCCCCCCACTATTGGGGTGTCCTTCCTCTGCAGACCTTTCTCCTACTATTGGGGTGTCCCCTCTGTAAACCCTTTCCCTTTTCTTCCCCCCCTGTATTGGGGTGTCCTTCCTCTGTGGACCCTCCCCGTACTATTGGGGTATCCCCTCTGCAGACCCTTCCCCTTCCCCCCCAGTATTGGGGTGTCCTTCCTCTGTGGACCATCTCCTTCCCCCCCGCTATTGGGGTGTCCTTCCACTGCAAACCCTCCCCCTGCTGTTGGGGTGTCCCCTCTGCAGACCCTTCCCCTTTTCTCCCCCCCCGCTATTGGGGTGTCCTTCCTCTGCGGACCCTCCTACTATTGGGGTGTCCCCTCTGCAGACCCCCTTTTCTCCCCCCCTCACTATCGGGGTGTCCTTCCTCTGCAGACCCTCCTAATATTGGGGTGTCCTTCCTCTGCGGACCCTTCCCTTTATTCTCCCCCCCCCCTTCCTTCAGACCAGCCCAGCTCCTCCACTTCGCTGCACAGCAGCTGGCGGAGTGGAGTGTGTGTGTGTGTGTGTGTGTGTGGAGGGAGGGGGGGGTTGTGCGTGCGGATTTGTTTTCCAACTGGCTGGATGTGATGAATCACATTTTCCTTTTGGGCAGAGGAAGGCAGCCATGGGGGAGGGGGTGGCGGGGAGCAAGGCTTGCCAAGCCCAGAGAGGAATGGAAGGACTTTTTTTTTTATGTCCACACACCCCCCCCCCACCCGTCCCACTTCGGAAAGGTGGAAAGACCCGACCGAGTTGCGTGCAGCGTCCCTCCAGCCAGCCAGCAACAGGGCATCCCATTTTTTGGGGGGGGAACAGCAGGGGGGTTATCAATAGATCCCCCATCTCTGGTGCCAGCAGCAAAAGCCCCTCCTCCCCCCTCCCCTACACCCCCCCTCCTGCACCCCCCAATATAAACGACCACGGATCAGCAATAGGTCATTTCAGCTCTACATGTAATACTGTTCTCTCTTTTTTTTTTTAAAGTAGCGTTACGTTCTGTTTTTCAAAATGGGCGGCCTGGTTTCAAATCACAGCGGGGGCAGACCTCCCCACGCTGAAAGCCTGCAAGTTGTGGGTCCCAGGAGAAAGAGAGGGCCGGTTTGTTGTCGTGGGGGCCAGCTTAAGTTTGTGTCGCAAAAACTCCCGCAGCGCAGACCCCCGGGGCGCCAGCGTTCCCCAAAATGAGCAGCCCTCCTTCCTTTGCTGCCCCCTCCCACCACCGAAATAAACCCCCTAAATATTTTAAGGGGGGGGACTTCAGCCTCTGTATTACATTCCGGGGAAAAGAGAACTTAAGTGGGAAGGAAGGAACACCCCCCCCCCCCCGGCACGGTTTTTTGGGGAAATGTAAAATTATTTTTAACTTGAGCAAAACAATCGGCCGTGTTCCTGTTAAAAAGCCGAAGCTTAGGCCCCGTTGAAATTTTTTCCAGTCTTCCTTCCTTGATTCAGAACATAAACACACACTCACACACACACCCTTCCCCGATTTCCACTGGGGAGGGTTTCCCCCAAAGGACCAAAAACGGCAACATTTCATTTTACCGTTATTTCGGAAGGAAGAATCCTACAAACCCGTTCTAAGATCAACGTTCACCGGTTGTTCTCCGTGTAAATTTTTTTTTTTATTTTAGATCCATTTTTTTCCTCTTTCTTTTTTTAAGAAGATGGAGGAGGGGACTGTCCAGACCAGGGCCCAAGGCCCTGCTGCCTAGTGGGTTATGGACATTGTAGTCTCAACCCTGGGCTAAACGTCGCAGCGCCGTTTGCGGTGGGACAAATAACCATCTTCCAAATTTAACTTTTTTGTGTCACACACACACACACCCAGCACCCGCTGCAGACAAGTCTCCAGAGGAAACCCCCTCCTCCAAGTCTTTTTCCTGACCGGCCGTTGCCGCAGCAGCATCGCATGCGTCACCGTGTACATTCCCATCGTTGTGTGGAGTGACGCGACTTGTGCGATGTTCTTTTGAAAGACCCCCTAAAGCTAAGCCTGGGAGGGGGCCATTGCCACTCCTCTTTGGTGGCAGGGGGGGGGGGGAAACCCAGATAAACCAGCATTTTGTCGCCCCTCTGGCTGCGTCCCTGGCAATCAGAGGTCCACCGCGGAGTTCCCCGGACAGTACCCTGTGTAGAATTCCCAGTGTAGAATCAGGCAGGGGAGTTGATGTCCAGGTGACAGGACCGCGACCTTTGAACCCTGTTCCACCTGCAGAATTGGGACCAGGGTACTCGGGATCACAGGGACACACCTGCCCTCCCCTTCTGTACCGTAGCTGGCTACAGGGACCTTGTAGACAGGCACGGCCGTGCACAAAACTCCCTTCCCACGCAAGGGACGATATTGTTTCCCCGACGCTGCCTCTTTGCCGCACTCCGTCGTGGCAGACGGCCCTCCCTGCTTCGCTGCTGCAGTCCCACCACACCATGCCCATTTCTGCCCATCCTTCCCCCCCCTGAACACTGAGACCTGTGGCCCCCTCCTCTCCTTTTCTGCGGCGATGAGTCTTTCCCCCCCCCCCACCGCCTGCCTTTCCAGCCCTTCGTGCTTCCAACATCTGATGCGTTCCCCGGTTGACAGCAGGCTGCACTTCGCTGCAGCAGCGTTCTCCCGCACATTTCCCGTCCTGCAGCCCCTTCTGCACTCTGCCCCCTCCCCCTTGGAGAGTGGGCTACCCAGGGCTGCCATTCTGGAATACGTTGGGGTCCTGTCCTTCTCCAATTTTCTCCTGGGATTTTTTTTTTAGGGGATGGACGGAGAGGGGTCCAAATAACGCTTGCTTGCAGGTCTGGGGTGCAGGGGCCTCCAGCTAGCTAGGTTTTAGCACACTGCTGCTCTACACAAGGAGGCAGGGGTACTTCCTGGACCCCAGTGGGTTTTTTGAGTGAGGGGGGGCTGCATTTCCAGCAGCGCACCCCTTGATTGCATCCACCGACGGGAGGGCAAGGCAGACGAGGCTGGGCTGAGCGAGAGCAGGCGCCAAAGGTATTCTGGATGGTCCTCCCGCCAGGGCAGGGGGCTCTGGGTTCAGGGGAGGGGGAGATTGGGGGGGCAGAAGGGGGAGGTCACTGACATGTACATAGTGGTCCGTCTCTCCGATCTTTTGCACTTTGTCACTGGGGGGCTCCGGTGATCGTTGACCGTTTGCTACTGAATGTAACTCGTCTTTTATTTTTATTTTTTTAGAAGCACCTCTAGCTAGTTTTATGGCACTTTAGATATTTACTGAAACTGTTTAAGGAAACTACAGAAAAGCAAAAAAAAAAAAACACAACAACACAAATAAACGAATAATAATAAAGAGAGAGAAAGAGAGAGAGAGACAGAAAGAGGAAAACAAGACCGAGACTTAGGAGAGAGAAAGAGAGAGAGAGAGCGCGCGCGAGACAGCAGGAGAAGACAACCGATAAAAATCACACGGTCGTAATCCCGAAGACGAATCGCCATTTTTTCTGCCGCTTTCCCCAGTTCTCTGTTCCCGAGTGTGACAGTGTGCGGAATCCGTTAGACAATTGCCGTATTTATCTTTCTGCATCTTTGTGTGTAACTCCAATAACTTCTTCAGAATAAAACAACAATTATATGTTGACGGTGACACACTATTGAAAAGCGAGCGCAGCCGACGACCGCTGGGTTTCCACCTTGGCACACTCCTGGGCTGGGAGACAGGAAAGACACAATGGGGGCTACACAACCCAGGTGTGCAGGGCGTGGGATTTGTGGAAAGGAGGGGAGGAAGAGGAGGAAAAGGTTAATGGCGGTGGAGTCCTGGGTGCTCTCTGAGCTTGGCGGTTTCCTTGCAGACATTTCAGGACCCAACTAGGGAACATCATCGGTTCTGGTTAACCACGATTCCTGCTAGCGTGATGATGTTACCTAGTTGGGTCATGAAATGTCTGCAAGGAAACCAGCAAGCTTGGAAACCACCAAGGACCCCAGAATCATTGTCGTTCTCCTCCTCCTCCTCCTCTCACCCTCCCTTCTAGAACTGATGATGTTCCCTAGTTGGGTCATGAAATGTCTGCAAGAAAAACACCCAGCTCAGCACCAGGGACCCCACAGTCCTCCTCTATACCCACCCCTCTCCCTTCTAACACTGATGATGTTCCCTAGTTGGGT